AGGGCCTCAGGCATGCAAGGCAAGCGCTCTACCACTGAGCCACCTTCTCAGCCTCCTAGCAAGCTTTTTAATGGGGAGAGTAGGGGCAGTGTGTGGTTGTTGGTCCCTGGGCTTGAACTCAGGGCCTGGGCACTGTTCCTTAGGTTTTTTTCTTTTTTCTTTTGGTTGGTCATGGGGCCTGAACTCTGAGGTTGGGCACTGTCTCTCAGCTCTTCAGCTCAAGGCTAGAGCTCTCTACCACTTGAGCCACAGCACTACCTCTGGCTTTTTCTGCTTATGTGGTACTGAGGAACTGGACCCAGGGCCTCATGCATGCAAGGCAAGCACTCTACCACTGAGCCACCTTCCCAGCTCTCTAGGATTTTTAAAAGCTGGAGACTAGTGCTTTACCCCTTGAGCCACAGCTCAGCTTTGGCTTTTTTTTTTTTTTTTTTTGGTGTTTACCTGGAATAAGAGTCTCAGGGATTTTCCTGCCCTGGCTGGCTTCAAACCATGACCCTTGGATCTTAGCTTCCTGAGTGGCTGTGATGACAGGTGTGAGCCACTGTTGTCTTACAGGCTTAATTTTTTGGGAGGAGGGTCAGTGGTGGGGATTGAACTCTGGGCCTGGGCGCTGTCCTTGCACTCTTCAGCTCAAGGCGAGCAATCTACTGCTTGAGCCACAGCACCACTTCTGGTTTTCTGGTGGTTTATTGGAGATTGGAGTTTTACAGACTTTCCTGCCAGGGCTGGCTTTGAACCGTGATACTCAGATCGCAGCCTCCTGAGTAGCTAGGATGACAGGCGTGAGCCACTGGTGTCTGGCCTACAGGCTTATATTTTAAAGAAGCATTTGAGCTGGGTATTGGTGACTGACACCAGTAATCAACCCTTAGCTACTCAGGAGGCTGAAATCTGAGGATCAAGGTTCTAAGCCAGCTCTGGTAGGCTAGTCTGTAAGACTCTTATCTATAAATAACCATTAAGAAGCCAGAAGTGGATCTGGAGCTCAAGTGGTAGAGCACCAGCCTTGAGCACAAGCTCAAGGACAGTGACCAGGCCATGAAGTCAAGCCACAGTTCCGGCATGCACACAGTAAAGAAGCATTTGATAATATAGAGACTGGGATATTGAAATGAGTGAGTTAAGTAATTGGCATCTCTTTGGAGAATAAAACCCGTATCTCAGGATGGAGCTGTGTTGTTGCAGAACTTGCCTCCTAATGATTCTTGTGAAATGATCTTTCTAGATAGAATAAGGCACATACCGCTGGTTTGAAGGCTCAGGCTCACTTGGTTACCAGTTGGCAGATAGAACCGGTAGCACCTCTGGGCAGCTGTCCCGTGGAGCCATCGGGCTGGAGAGTGATCTCCCAGACGGGGCTGGCGCTGGGCCAGCCTTGGCTGCTGTGTCAGCCAGGCCCGCCTAGGCTCGTGGCTTGAGCAAGACTGTATTTGGCCACCAAGTGGCCCAGGGACGTTAACCAGTCAGCCGTGCCTGCTCCCGTCTCTGACCGTCCTCGTCTCGGTCTGCCTGTGAGTGCTGCGCTGGCCGCAGACGTGGGCAGCACACTGGCCTCTGGCTGACGGAGATGAGTCTAATGGGAGCCCCCTTCGTGATGTGTGTAGTCCTGTGATCCTAGTAGATGGTACTACTGGGAGTGCCCCCCCCCCCCAGCCCAGCCCGTTGTGCGCACTCTCCCTGAGCGTTTTTGCCCGAGGCTGTGTGCTACTACATGAGCCTCAGCTTTGCTTACAGCTTTTTTTTTTCCCCCTTTTGCCAGTCCTGGGGTTTGAACTCTGAGCCTGGGCACTGTCCCTCAGCTCTTCAGCTCAAGGCTAGCGCTCTACCACTTGAGCCACAGCACCACTTCTGGCTTTTTTTCCCTGCATATGTGGTGCTGAGGAATCGAACCCAGGGCCTCATGCATGCCAGGCAAGCGCTCTACCACGGAGTCACCTTCCCAGCCCCACTTCAGCGTTTTCTGTGTATGTGGTGCTGAAGAATCGAACCCAGGGCCTCATGCATGCAAGGCAAGCGCTCTACCACTGAGCCACCTTCCTAGCCCTGCTTGCAGTTTTTTGGTAGTCAGTTGGAGATAAAAAAATCTTCTGATCTTTCCTGTCTAGGTTGGCTTTTTGCACCATGATTCTCAGATCTCAGCCTCCTAAATAGCCAGGCTTACAGGTTTGAGCCACCTGTATCCAGCTAGGATTGAAGGCTTGTTTTGGGGAGCGGGGGAGGGGGGGGTTGGGGAGGTTAGTCTGCTGTTTGAGCGCACAGCTCCAATTGCACCTTTTTATTGGTTGACCGGGTATATATTTAGCTTGGGCTGACTTTGAGCCTCAGTCTTGAGCCTCCTGAGTAGCTAGGGTTACTGGCATTAGACATCAGTGCCTGGTCTCTAGAATACTTTTCATAGCAGTGATAAAGGGGGTATTATAGGAGGATAAAACAGCTTCCCTCCCTCCCTCCCTCGCGCGGTCATGGGGCTTGCCTGTGCGCTGTCTCTGAGCCTCTTGGTGTTCAGTGCTAGCAGCTCTACCACTTGAGCCACAGCGCCACTATCTCTGGCCTTTTCTGAGTAGTTTATTGACAGTAAGAGTCTCACAGACTTGCCTGTCCAGACTGGCTTTGAACTGGAATCCTCAGATCTCAGCCTTGTGAGTAGTTAGGATTACAGACTTGAGCTGCTGAATTCCATTTTACAGTGTGATGTTTTAGTGTGTACAAAAGAATGATTTGATTAGAATTTTGTTTCAGATAATGTATAAGGCTAACATATGTATAACATATATATATATGCTATCGTATGTATATACACACACACACACACTATATACGTTGTTGTTTGCTTAGAGTTGAGCCTACAACAGAATTATTACAAAGTAAATTCCAATTGTAATCCTTAATTTTGGTAGATGTTTAATATACCAGTTTCTGGTTTTGGTTTGGTTTTGGTGTGGTTTGAGACATAGTCTGCCCTGGCTTAGAATTTTTTATCTCACTTCACACTCCCAGATGCTGGGATTAGACACACTTGATATTATACCTGGCTTCTTTCATTACCACCCCACCCCCCATATTTTGTGTCATTGCAAGGTTCTGTCACTTGAGCAACAGCCCAGCCCTTTCCTAATTTCTTAGATGTAGGAAATGGTCTTCATTTTGAAGTAGCTTGTAGATGGCCTAAGGGTGGCCTGTCCAGCAGCCCAGGGAGTGAGGTGTGGGGTTCCCTTGTCGCCATCTGCCCACCTTGCATGGGATGGAGCTGGAAGGGGTCTGCGCCCTGGACTGCTCCGTCTGCGCTTAGAACCATGCTGCCAACGGCTACTTCTGTCCCTGCTGGTCTTTCAAGCCTGTTACGTTGGATTCCACTTTAATTAGAGCATCCTGTCCAGAGAGGGTCCTCTCCTTCAGGGCAGGCATGCGACCTGCCTCTGTTCTGTTCCAAGTCCCAGCCTTCCCGGGACTCCCTCAGACCCACCGCCCAAGGCTTGAGCCCTTGGTTCCCATAGGCTCCCATACGGAAGCATAGGCTTTTTTTGGCTCCTCTGCCTCACACAGCTGCTTTGTTGCTGGCCCACGCTGTGTGTGCTGTGTTTACAGGGTCACTTCCTGCTTTGTTGCTGGCCCGCGCTCCCGGCATAGCAGTCCCCTGGCGTGGCTATCTTGGCGTTGCCTCTGGCGCAGGGACTTGCTATAACATACGGACTTGTTATTCTTGTGTCCTGATGCTCTTTTTTCTCCTGTATATCCCAATGTAAGCATGATTTCTGCATTTATTCCTTAACAGTTTTCTCATTTTCCTGAAGAAAAAAAAACCACTAATTATAAAGAACCCAGATAAATTTTTAAAAACCGTGTGTGTGTGTGTGTGTGTGTGTGTGTGTGTGTGTGTTAGGGCCTGGACACTCTTCCTTAGCTCTTCAGCTCAAGGTGAGCATTCTACCACATGGAGCCACTGCTTCATAACAGTTTCCTGGTGGTTAATTGGAGATAAGAGTCTCATGGACTTCCCTACTATGACTGGCTTGAATCTTGATCCTTAGAGCCTGGCTTCCTGGGTAATTATAGGTGTGAGCCACCAGTGCCTGGCAAGTTCTGTTTTTAGTTAGTGCTTTAGATAGATAACCACAACAAAGAGAAAACTCCCTGCTGATCTTTTTAAAATGAAGGTATGTTTAATGTAAATTCTTTGAATCATTGTTGATCTTAATTTTCAGAAGCATTTTGGTGTTTTAAGGAAAATGTAATACCTACTTTTGTCTATCAACACTTCTGTAAGTACAGTGTATGTTGGTCATTTATTGTTTAGATTTGACTTCAACTGTTTTTTTAAGGAATCAAAAGTTAGAAAATTAGGGTTTCCTGGACATCTTGGTCAAGTAGACCAGCTGATCGCATCTGCTTTGCTCTGTATCCTCTGTATACATTAAGAAGGGGCTGAGAAGGTGGCTCAGTGGTAGAGCGCTTGCCTTGCATACCTGAGGCCTTGGGTTCAATTCCTCAGCACCACATAAGCAAAAAGAAAAAAGCCGGAAGTGGTGCTGTGGCTTAAGTGGTAGAGCGCTAGCCTTGAGCTGAAGAGCTGAGGGACAGTGCCCAGGCCCAGAGTTCAGGCCCCACTACTGGACCACCCCCCCCCAAAAAAAAAAAAAGAAAAGAAATTTGTGTTGTGGTTTAAACGTGCTCTGGAGAAGCAACTTGAATGCCTACATATACAACTGCATTGGCCGAGGGTTGCGGCAGGAGCCGCCCGCCGGGTAGTCCTCCAGTGGACACGGATCCTGAGCACACGCGTGCGTGCGTGCATCATAACGTAATGCTGTTTTTATCAGTCTTTAGTCAGCAGTGCAGCTTGTGTTGCAGTTCTCGGTGAGGGGTCTAGATGTGTTACTTTAACTTCTTGCTGGATGTTTTCCAAGGAATGACATGGAAGGAGGCACTCACTGATTCCCTCTCCCAGGCAAAAAAGTAGGAATGAAACTTTGCTAGCACCCATCTCTGTTTCTTTCTAGAAGACCCATTTGATGACTTTTTTGGGAGCCGAAGGGGTCCTCGAGGAAGCAGGAACCGAGGCGCAGGCTCCTTTTTCTCTGCCTTCAGTGGATTTCCATCATTTGGAGGCGGATTTCCTTCATTTGATGCAGGTATTTAATAGCTTCGATTTGATCTTTCTCATTCAAACAGAACTTGGTGCTTACGTCAGGACCACCCTAGAGTGGGTATCGTTTGAAGTGTCTGCATTCCTTTTGTCAGAAGAGCTTTGTGAACATGTTAGGTCCGTGATTAATGAATGATTCACTGTATTGGCTTCCCATTTCCCCCAAGAATGGTAGCTTACTTCACTCTAGCCAGGTGTTGGTGGGTCATGTCCGTAATCCTAACTACGCAGGAGTCTTGAGCTGAGATTTGAAGATCACAACCAGCCTGAGCAGGAAGGTAATTTCCTTTGTCTCCCATTGTCAGTCCCTTAGCTTGAACTCAGGGCCTGATGGCTAGCACTCTACTATTTGGAGCCACAGTGCCACTTCCGTCTTCTGTTGTTTAATTGGAGATACAGGTGTTCCTGCCCAGGCTGACTTTGGACTGTGTTCCTCAGTTCTTAGTCTTCTGTGTAGTTTAGGATTACATGCATGACCTACTGTTCCCAGACTATCTGTGAGACTCTTATCTCCAATTAACCGCCAAAATGACAGGCATGGAGCTGTGGCTTAAGTGGTGCTAACCTTGAGCCAAAAAAAAACAGCTCAGGGACAGTACCCAGGCCCTGAGTTCAAGCCCTGGATTGGCATCAAAAACAAAAAATACCTTAGGAAATTCAGACAGTAAGTAATGTTATATTAAATGAAATTGATGGGAGATACTAGACTTTGTCAGTTCCTTTTGGACCACATCTCTAGCCTTGCTTTTTGCTGGCTATTTTAGAGATGGAGTCTCAGGCATATTTTTTTCTGGGCAGATTTGAACTACAATCCTCTGCATCTTGGGCTTGATGAACAGCTAGGATTATGGGGCTACCAGCACTTGGCTCTAATTTTCAAGTTGTTTCATGCTTTCTCGGTTTGTTTGCTTACAGTTAACACTCTACCGTTTGAGCCATGTCCCCCACCCTGTTTCTTTGCTGGCTAATGGGAGATAGAGTCAAGGGCTTTTATGCCCACTGGCCTTTGATCCATGAGCTTCAAGTTCTCATTCTTGTGAGTTGCTAAGATTATAGGCATGAGCCTCTGATGCCCAGTTGTAATGAAAGTTTTAGTTAAGAGGGATGGAGTATTTTCCTGGTCAGCCACTTGCTAGCGCCTCACCAAATCTGTGCTAGCAGGAGCTTCCCACCTCTGGAGGCAGACAAAAGGACGCACTGAGTAGCTCCCCTGGTGTCTTGGTTGTATGGAATTGGATTGTGGGTCCACACAAAGCTTGGGTGTGTGCACCCCTGAAGTTCTCAGCCAGGGGCAGTTTTCACAGGCAAGTTTGAGCTTACTCTGCAAACTAGCATGTGTACATATCATGGCATATTGGTGCTGGAACTGATTTTAAGCCTTGGGTGGCTATGATTGGGGTGTTGGCAATTGTCTCCCCTTAAGTCTTGTGTCAGATTGTTTTTGTCTAGTTAAGGAGTAGTACACTGGTCCTTTTCCAGCAGATGGGCGTGCTCAAGACCATGTAATAGGCCAAGTACATGCCAGGAAAGGTGGCAAGACTCTGACCAAACTTTCAGGAGGCACTGGTGCTTCATGCCCGTAATCCTTAGCTACTTGGGACCAGAGGATCTGGAGGATCAGAGTTCAGAGCCAACCAGGACAGAAAAGTCCTCAAGATTCCATCTGTGATTAGCCAGCGAGATGCCAGACTGGAGTGTGACTCAAGTGGTATAGCGCCAGCCAAGCAAGCGAGCAAGCCAGTCAGAGCCGGAAGTCTTACAAACCCCCATCCCATGTGTGTCGCAACAGTACTAGCACGTAACCGATGTGTGGCGGCCGACCCATGAAAGCCCTGGAGAGGCCACAGGATTGAGAGTTCAGCCCCACCTGCTCTGCAGAGAGACAGTCAGGCACCTCCCAGAGCACGTGGGTCTCAGGTTCACACTTGTCTTGTGTGGCAAGTAGTCCAAAGGGAGATGGACTGGAACTGGGACAGAAACACAGTGTGTTACGAATTGTACTGATTTCTAACTTTTTAGGGAGGCTATAAAATTAAACGTGTGGCTCACGTTTTATTAAAGCAACACAATCCTAGACAGGTTAAACAATGTTCAGGAGTATGTGTTGTTTTAGTGTGACCATTTCAGAAATAGTAAAGAATTAGGCTCTTTTATCAAACCAATCTCCCTATCTATGAGAGGTTTTGTGTATCCAGGGTAATAGCTTCATAATTGAGGTCTGTGCTTTCCGGGGGGCGGGTAATTAATTGCAGTATTCTGAAATTTCTGAATAGCTCAGCCTTTTGTTTCCTGTGGTGCCACTGCAGCACGGGCCAGTTAGTTAGATGCATGTTTCTGTGGGGAAGTTGCTGTAGGTGTACCACACAAAGATGCTCTCCAGTGCCAACTAGACGGTCCAGGGCGGGGCGTATCTTTGGCATGTTGAAATGCCAATGAGGCCCTGCAGTGCAAACAGCTGGTCTTTGTGCTTAAAGGTGAGCGTCGAGAGGTAACAGACCCATTCTTTGGCTCCCCTGCAGTTCCCCTGAGGTACTGTGCCTATGTGGCTTATTCACGGCAGACAGGTTACAAATACTTCGTGACAAATGCTTGACCAGGTATCTGAAGATGGTCTCTTCTGTTTCCCTGCAGGATTTACTTCATTTGGGTCACTGGGTCATGGAGGCCTCACTTCCTCCTTCTCCTCCACGTCATTTGGCGGTGGTGGGATGGGCAACTTCAAGTCCATATCAACTTCCACTAAAATAGTTAACGGCAGGAAAATAACTACAAAGAGGTGAGTACAGTACAGTGGCTTTTGTGTATTTTCAGGAAGTCAGCATAATAGCAAAAAACTTCTGTGCGCCCTCGAGCTGAAGTATAATTGTAAATTACTAGAGCCTTTGCTTTTTAATTTATGCAGCAGCTTACTTATTAGAAATCGTTATTTTGAGCAATAGTTTAATACGTAATTAAGGGTAAAAAGTTTTCCGCAGTACTGTTGGAATGGTGAAATGGAAGATTGTTACTAGTAAAACTCTACCTTTTTCTTTTCCTGTTTCTTTTCCCTTCCTTCTCTTCTGGTCTTCCTTCCCCTTCCTTCCTTCCCTTCTTCCCTCTGTGTGTGTGGGAGGAAACGAGAGCCTTGACATCCTTCCCAGGCAGTGATTCTACCATCGCACTACACTCCAGCTTAAAAAGGGTTTCAAATGAATTCTGTCTTGCAGAATTGTTGAGAATGGTCAGGAAAGAGTAGAAGTTGAAGAAGACGGCCAGCTAAAGTCCTTGACAATAAATGGTAAGGAGCAGCTGCTACGCTTGGATAACAAGTAACTCAGCGCACGCATTTAACAGGAGTGTTAAACCATAACAAGCACCATTTGAGGATTAACAGGAACATTTTTTTGAAGATTTCAAACGAACTCGACTTTCAGTATAACTGTACCTAATCTAAAGTATTTATAAGCAGCTCATCGGAGCCTCTATTTGTCATAGACTTTTGAGTTTATTGTTGGGACCACACAATAGGACCATTTTTTTTTTGTCTTTGAAATTGTTGTAATCTCTGTATGCACTTTGCTTTTTATTAAGCGTAATGCAAGGTGAGGCCCGTGACTCTTGCGTAGCCCTAGGACAAGATTGTACTCTTAACACCAGCATGGACCTGCTTTCGTTGTGTTTGAAATGTGAGCCACGTAGTTCAGCCTGCTGTGAAGTTGACATTGCCAGGATGAATCTTCTACAGGAACAATTCCAGTTTCTTATTTTCAGTAATGAAAGACTTAATACATTAATGGTAATACATTTCTGGTTTATTATAAATTAAGGATGTTTTCTAGTTGTGCATGAATGCTGGCAACTTAGTACGTTTTGACAACTGTTTAAATAATGTAATGTTAAGCTTAGGTTAAAAATAAGTTGGTAAACTGGGTCTTTGTCATTGCTTTAAAAAAAGAAAATAAATGCGACTGTGTTTGGTGCATTCTTTCCTGAGTGGGTGTCGCCGGCCTTCTCGTGTCTGTGTTTGGTGCATTCTTTCCTGCGTGGGTGTCGCCGGCCTTCTCGTGTCTGTGTGGTTTTGTGCCTGGGTTCTCGTGTCACACCGATAGCACTTCCTTCTGTATTGAGGTGGATGCGGAGTGAAGTTACGTGTAGACCTGCTCAGCGAATTTGGAGAGTAATGAGTTAGCAAATTACGGGGCATTTTAGTGTTCAGTTGCTGTGGGGAGGGGAGAAACAGCGTCACAAATTTGGTCTCTTACGGATGTTGTGGTTCCCTGAGGAATGGATGTGAAATCACCTGACCTAGTCATGACATGATGGAGTCAGCAACAAAAAAAAGTTGATTTTGTCTCTGTAAAACTGGTCATTGTTGTCACTGCCTACTACTGTTCCAGCTTACTTTATTCCACAGAATAATTTTTTGGGAGTTTCCAAATGTGAAGCTGGCAGAAATTTTCTCATTGAGCATTTAAGGAATCTGATGTACTATTCCTGAGAAAACGTTTTTTGTGTTTTTGTTTTTGGTTGGTCGTGGGGCTTGAACTCGGCCTGAGGGCAGTGTCTGACATTTTTCACACAAGGCTAGTGTCTAACACTTTGAGCCACAGCACCACTTCTGGTTTTCTGGTGGTTAATTGGAGATAAGAGACTTTCCTTCCCCGGGCTGGCTTTGAACTGCAGTCCTCAGATCTCAGCCTCCTGAGTAGCTAGGATGAGAGGCGTGCCACCAGCACTCATCTTGCAAAAGACTTTTTAAAGAAAACTCATAGGATCTTTAGAAAGAAAGCACAGCACACCCAACTGAAGCAGTTGGACAGTTGGACTGAGGACAGCAGTGAGTGAATGCTGTGTCCGCGCTAGGAGTGGTGTGCCTTGCAGCCCCTGCTTTGGGTGAGGTAGGTCTGCAGTCCGTCTGTCCTGCACCTGCACCACCCCAGAGCATTCTCGTCGGAAGGCCTACTTGTGGCCATGCCACCAGCACCAGTGGCTTCCATTCAGGTAGACACCCGAGACTCTTGGGTGTAAGTTTTTTGTGGCTAGGGATAGCCCACGAGATCTATGGGGAAAGGCACATGGGAGTCTTGTCTCTTCCAAACGTGTTGACGTGAACCAGCAGTTCGGTACACACTTGTTTGAATGCTTGGGGTAGGTCTCTTTTGCTTCACTTGAACTGGAAGACCCAGGAGGTGTCTGACTGTGTGGGCTGAGCCCTTTGTAAGAAAAGATCCTGCATTTGCATTTGAGAAAATGACCTTTATCCTGCTTTCCCACTAATGTGAGTTATTAATTGAACACCAGGTAACTTGTTAAACCTGCTCGGTTGAAGTGTGAAGCACTCAAGTGTATGCCATGAGAATTTGGCCCAGTGTTTATGAATGTAGCCTTGGTTAGGAATGAAATTGTTTTTGTTGAGGATACTACTACCCAAGCAAGTGACTTGGGCCAATAGCATTTCACTTAAATGACTTTTTAGTTTGTTTCTGCAGTTTCTTTTCTTTTGGCCAGTCTTGAGGCTTGAACCCCGGGCCTGGGCACTGTCTCTGAGCAGCCTTTCTCAAGGCGAGCACTCTACCACTTGAGCCACACACCACTTTTAGCACTTTCTGTGCATGTGGTACTGAGGACTTGAACTCAGGGCTTCATGTATATTAGGCCACTAAGTCACCTTCTCACCCTTTGCTTTTGTGTAGGAAAAGCCCCTTGGTGTCGTGTCTGTTGCATATGAGAATGAGACTGAAAACTACATCCTGCGGTGGGGGCTTCTGCCCGATGCTGGGCTGCTGCCTCCATTGGGAGCTGGCCGCTCTTGATTTGTGCACAGTGGCCTTGTAGGTCAGGTCCTCTGACGTCTGTCCGGTTTGCTGCTTCTCCATGGCTGCTTCTCCTCTCTGAGATGGACAACTCCCCACGTGGTTTTTGTAGGCTCAGCCAGTCTCACGGTGTGAGCGAGAGAGATCAGTAGTTGTTGGAATTAGTCTAAGCACTGCCTGACATCCTGTTCACAGGCCAGGCCTATTCTTTGTGATTTCAGATTTTCCCCGAGGGTAGTTCTGGGATAATGGTCTTGGAGCGATTTAAATCTCTTGTCTTGAAAAGCTTTAAAATTCCTGCACAGTCTTGTCTGGATTCTTAGTAGCTATTGCTATTGTCTTTGTAGAGAATACTGATCTTTATCTTTACATACCGAAAACCCTTGGAATCTGGGTGAAGAAATGAGCAAAATGCACAGGATGCTGACATCAGTGCTGTAAAATACTCAGATCATGTACTCTCGGAACCTCTACTTCCATGAAAACTACTGCTGTTCATACTAATACTTCTCACAGTATCAGCTGGCAAGGCAGGCAGGCTGCCACTTGAGCCAAAACTTGAGTGCAACAAAATGAGATCTTATTTCAGGTTGTATCTGGATTTATTTTTCCTGTAGCACAGCCTAACTGGTGGTAAAGATAGGAAGCGTATTGTCATCAACT